CTCGCATAAACACTCCTCGAAAATGAGGAATACCATTCCCATATTTTAAAATGTCAAAGTTATTTAAGGGACGATTAGGTAGCCGATACTTTAGTTTTTTTGTTTCGATACATAAATATTTAGTCCATCTTTATGAGGTTTAAGATGTAATCCTTTTCCAATGCAAAGAGCTTCCATTTTTTCGTTGTGTCTCTTCAATTCCGCAAAATGCTTTTTAGCAATCTTGAATTCATTAATAGTCTTAGCAATACCAGCTGCACCACCTGTTAATGCTCCTACCGCTGATAATCCCGCAAAAATAGGAATTAAAGGTAATACTCCACCAGTTTTTGGTATAGGAATAACGCGAGGAAGTGTAATAGATGAATCATCAATCATTTCTCTAGCAGCAGCCATAGCTAATTCAATTGCCATTTTCTTGCCTTTTGGCTTTAATTTTTGGAGGTGTTTTTTTGTTTTAGAAATAAAATTTTTAAATTTATTTTTTACGTTGAAATAAATTTTTCTTGAAGTGTTTTTTTTACGATCATTATTTAAACCAGTTCCAGTTTTAATTTTAGCTAACATAGCTTTATTCACCACATGAGCTGCTATCTTCTCACTTACACTCGCATCAGAAGCATTTGCGCGTGCTTTTGCCATTTTTAATAAAACTAAATCTGCTTTGTGTCTTTCTTTCAAGTTTGATGATCTATGATAAGCAATATCGTGGTCTTTGCAATATTCGTCTAATTTATTTATACCTTTATCACCACGTATAAGTCTCTTAATTAATTTGGTTCCAGGTCCACAATAATTGTATCCAGGTAGATGTAATTCAAATGGTAAATTATTTATAAACCAGTTGAGAAGACTAGTCTCTCCTAAGTACATAATAATACTGATTAATTGTGGTTGTAACGATTAATATATATGTTCTATTACAATATATTCGACTTATCTATCCAGCTATTTTCGGTAGGGGGCAAACCAAGCCATTTTACTAATACCTTGTTTCCTTTCCTCCTCAGAACTTTTTCAACTAAGTATACATTAGGATGTTTTGTTTTTTGAAGTTCTTGTGTATAAAATGCTCCTAAAATAGGTTGACCTCTGATTGTATCTTCGATTAAATAAGTGATGGGAGCCGTGTTTTGTATTTTTCTAATTTTAAATACTTCTGTCGACCAATTAGGAGTATATCCCTTTTCGAATGTTCCTTTGTACTTACTGATCCGTACATAGTCACCCACTCTGAACATACTCTTTGTATTATTTTTTTTTATCGACATTAGATGTCTTTTTAATATACGTGTTTTATTAGTATTATTAACCTTTGCGGGAATTTCATCAATTGTTCGATGTTTGGTGTGGTTATATTTATATGTGACGTCATTGAGAATATCATTTATCCAATTATAATTACCCTGTAAACTAAATGCTTTGTATAATTCGGACTTCAATGTTCTGTTAAATCGTTCAACTATTGAAGCTTTTTTTGTCGAAAAAGTTGAATAATGATTTATATTTGATTTTATAAGACTTTGAAATTTACTATTATAAAATTCTGTTCCGTTATCAGTTTGTACATTTTTAGGAACACGTCCTTTATCCAACAAATTTTTAAATGCATCATATACAACGTCTTTATTTTTACTTTTTAAGGGATATTGTCCAAGCATACTTCGAAAACGTGTCAATAACAGAAAGAATAAATCTAAAGCCATTATTTTGTTTAGAAACTGATTGCATATCAATTAAATCCGCTTGCCACAGATCATCTATATCTTTCATAATAACCCTTCTACGCGGGAAATTCACCCTCGCAATTCTATGAATTTCATTAACGACATCTTCTTTGCTCATATTAGTTTTCTATTATATAGATATTTTTCAATAATTTAAAGAACAAAAGTACCTTATGTGTTCTTAACAATCAGATATATGTGAAATAAATGAATTAATTTAATATTAATATTTTATCAATGCTGTGATAATAGTTGGTTACTGGGCAAGAATGATTCTTTAATACTAAAATAAAAGATATATAACACATCTATTTATTTATTTATTCCTTAATTACATGGGCTTCTTTCAATTCCTCAATTATTGATAAAATTTCATTATCGTGATTTGTATTACCAGCATCTTTTGAAGCTATTAACAATTTTAACCTTTCAACCAATTCATTAGGATCATCCCAATATACCAAATCAGTTTGTGTTCTATACTTCTTGAGTTTTGGCAAGCTACCTCCAAGTTTGGTTTGTTTTTTTTCATTTGAAGTAATAGAAAACAAAGGTTTGATTATATCTCGATATTTCGTTCCTTTATCACCTCTTATTTGACCTTCAGGATTAAAATCTCTCTTATGTGCGTTTGTTTCAAGTAATATGTTTTTATATACCACTTTATCTTCACTTGTTATTGACCTCAAATCTGGTTTTTTTCGAAGTAAAAGTTCTTTCAAACCTGGAGTTAAATTGTAAGTTTTGGTATCAATTTTTACCAATAACACATTATTATTATCCGCACTGTCAATTTTAGAAAATGATACTATTGAGTTGCCTATCATTAATTTTTTATTATCAGTTCTTATTCCAAATGGTACATTTAATCCGTCATAAATACCATAAACATCTTTACCCTCTAGTGACATCTCTAAATTTATATCTTTATTTTTAATAGGAGTTGCAATATTTAAATCAGCATCATGAAAATCATCACATTTAGTAGAGCAACTCGTAATACTTTCATCTGATTCGAATGATTCCGAATAAGTCATATTTTCCATTGGTTCCAAATTCGGAGATTTTTTTTTCAAATTCACTAAGGTTTGAAGAGGCTCCGAAACAGGTTTTAGTATTTTATCAAGCGATAAATTAATTTCATGTTCCTGGTTTTTCATTTGTTGTAATTTAGATTTTACTGCGTCAGCAGACTTAATCAACTGTAATTTAATTTTTTGCTCCATATTATTGCTGATTACTTTATTCAGCCAAAGAAAACGAATACTGATTTATTATTTACAAATTACCTTTATTTATATATTATCTTCACTGAAAATAGAGATTCACTTTGTAAAAAACTGACGTAATCTAAAACTGTTATTTAGTTTGCTTTTTTATTTATTATTCAAAACTTATGAAGTTATCAAATGATTGTCTATATCTACCATTGTTTAAAACACAGTCTTTATTGATAGTCAAAAAATCGTACGGAGACAGCCATATTTTAGAACAAATGTTTTTGAACTTAGACCATTCCATATCAGAACTAACATGTTCATCATAAATATGCTTCAAGTTCAAATCATCCTGTTTGAAGATAACTAAAAAATTTACATTGTCACGTAGCAAGTGCTTCGGTACTTTTGCGTAAGTCTGAGATAAATAAAAGCAATCTATTCCTCTATGCCTTCCCATTGTATAATAATTCCGTATGTTCATTTGTTTTTCACCAGCCACATCATCAAATATTATTACTGAATTTGGTAAGGCATCATTAGGATGAATTACCTCTTCATTGGATTCAAAAGTGAAAAGTTTTACTTTTGGAACTCTTCCCAAGATTTGTTTTAGAAAACAATATTTTGGCTGTAGAGTTGTTTTGGAATATAAATAAACATTTTGAAACCTTAAACCGTTTTCATGTAACAACAAGCTTATCATGACATTAGTTTTTCCACAATTAGAAGGACCACATATTATACTGCGGATATTATTCGGAAGAAGTACGCTATGCTTTGGGTGTAGCGTATTCTCTTTTATATCAAAATTCCTAACTGCCAAGGATACAGGCTGTTTAATCCACTTCATCTTTATGTCTGTCATAAATTATATTTGTTCTTGGTATTTATATGCGAATGTGTGTACTTTATAATAATTTCATTATTAATTCATTATATATTTGAAAATGTGAACTGGAAAATAAAAAAAAAACTTTTAAAAAAAATAACAAAACTATATTTATTTATTTTTAGAAAAAAAAATTGGCAGTCAAACATCACGATAGAAAGCGGTCTTGAAACACTAATCTTTTTAGTCTGTGTAGAAAACTTGGTACCGCTGGTTGCATCAGTTTAGTGTTTAATTAATAAAAATACTTGCTAATTTGAATCGTAAGTATATAAACTTCATTTTCACGTTATTTAAGATTTTGTAAATGTGAATGATTAAAGTAGGTAATTTATATTTTTCAGAAGATGAGTGACCTGGATATTGTGGATGATGTTTTCAAGTCATACTATTTTACTCAAGGACTGCCTAAAAACAAGATGGAACAAGTCGAGTTCCATGAACATCAAAAGCATGATGAGAAAAGTGTAAACGAGAAAGCCAAAGAAAAGGATAGGAAGAAGTGTAAATTATCATCAAGAAAAACTGTATCCAAATGTTCTGTCATACCTTTTACATCTTACGTCATTCGTAACGAGCCAGAGAAAGCGCATCATTTAATTAAAATATGTGTTTATGATTTAAGCATTAATGAAAGTCCTTGTGTGGACGTTCAATATCAAGTTAAAGACAATCACGATGAAATTATGGATGAAACAGATTACCTAGTTAATAAAATAGTGAAAAAAATAAGTTCAACCTCATACGGCTGTTGAATGTTATTTGTTAAGTCTTTTTAAAATATAATAAGTATTATGTTTCTTAAGTATACCTATTTGAAGTTAAAATTTGAGTGTGAGTTAAATACATAGAATTTTTATAAAAATTTGTGTTTTATTCATCGAAGAAATTACGATTCAAAATAATATTATAAATGAATCAGTCTTCAATTTACTATAGTAAAAACAAATAATGAATTAGTGTTTCTTTTCTATTTTATCAGTAAATAAATCATAATAAGTAATAGGAAAGTATTTAGTACTTAATGAAAAAAACATGTTCATGATTAAAATATTATTTATTTTTTAAAACATAACCTACAACTAAAAATTACAATATTATGTATTTGAAAATAACATTATACTATTATCTTACATATAAGCCTTAAAATATATGTATTTATGTCTAAAATATAGTATTACAATGACCCCATGGTAATGTATCTATTTGATTTAATAGTATCTGTCTCTTATCATCAGTTCTATTAATAACTATTTTATTTATTTCCTGAGAAAACAACATATGTTTTATAGATTTAATAGTGTTCATCTTGCATTTAAATGTACTGTCACTAAGTAGAGCTTTATTATAATTATATAATCGTAATCGCTTTGTGATTGACTTATTGACACCCTTGGCTTTTCTAGTTTCCCCATTTAAACTTTTTATACAGTATAGTTTAGCTCTAAGCCCAGTAAATTCTGTAATAATGTCACCCGCGAGCTCATCTTTAAATAGGCCTGGGATTTGTGCGTGGACTCTAGGCATTTCAAAACTATTGTTTACATCAAAATTACTGGTATCAAAATTTGAAATGTCTTGTTTCATATCTTGGTATAAATCTGGTGTTTTTATAAAATAAAGCAAACTATCAGTATCAGTATAACACAACCTTGCTTTGTTTTTATATTTGTTTTTTATATAATCATAGTGAAACTTATACAAATGCTGTTTTGCGTACTCTAAAACCGTAAAACCAATATATATGGGTCTGTCGAGATTTAATTTTTCGGGGCTTAAATGAATACCTACAAAGTTTTTAGAAAATATTGTTATGTTTTTGAAGTTAGGTTTTGAAATTAAGTTTACAGCACTAAGATGTTTGTTTGTCTTATTGTTCTTGTCATTCCAAGTAGTAGCTAATTTAATATTTACCTGTTTTCGTCTATTTTCAATAGTTTTACCAAAAATCGCATTATTCATCAGTTTAAATAAGTTTTTTTCAAACGATGACGTTGATCTTTGACGTAAATGAGTATTCAAGTCAATGTATTCCTGTAAAAAGTTTTCTTGTCTAAATGTGAGTACACGGTGAATTTTTTTCAAAACAAGACCATTCTTTAAACATTCTTTTAAATGAACGTAATGTATGACATATTTGAATTTATCGTACAGGCTTGCAATTAATTTTGGAGTTTTACCATCTGGAGGAATAAACTTTTCTGGAGCAAAAGGTAAATCCTGGTGATGTTTATGTAAATGATCTGGGTAAGACAAATCGACTTCTAAAATATATCCATAATCTGAGTCATCCGGTTCATTGGTTATATTAATTGCATATATTTCAGCAGGTGACAAAAACCGGAAGTCAGATATTGGCAATTTTTTTGTCATCGCATATCCATATAAATTATTACAGTCGAGATATATCAAAAAAGTTGATTCCTGAGAGCCATCAAAATTCGGTAAGTATTTATTATTAGCCTTTGCATTACGAAGAGAACACTGAGCTAACCCTCCCCGTATCCCCTTTTCCAGTAATTCATAAATTTCTAAATCACTAATTAGCTCTAATTGGACCTTTGTATACAACATCATGGCATCCCAACTCAAGCTCGGTGCAGTGGTATAATAAGCTGGATCAAGATTATAATATCGTAAGCAAGTGTCTCTAAAATTTTCAAATATATCGCAAAGTAACAAAACATCAGTTTTTAAATATAAGTCTGTATACTCTCCAAGAGATTTTAATTTAAAACTTTGCCATATTTGTTTCGCGTGCTTGTAATCGTCATCGGTTATGTGTTCATATTTTAAACTATTATAAAAACATTCTTTCGGGGGTAAACAATTTTCATCATATTTTGAAAAAGAATCCATATAATCGTAAGGGTAAATACCCTTACGTTGCAATAATTTCAACAAGTCCGCGTCGTGAAATTCATCCGATAAATGTATGAACTCATCATCATTTAAATTTCTAGATAAGACATCCAAGCTTGAGTTAAGGAACTGGAGAGAATCGATAAATTTTATCTGTTTGGTTTGAATTATTTTAGTAAGAGATATATATTTTTCTTTAGTTTTCGGTATTATTTTAAAATAACCTTCATATTTTGCCAGTTCTTTGATGAAAAGATGACAGTCATAACCAGCCAAGTTATGAAAAACCACTGGCACAAATGAACAAACTCTGTGCATTATGTTACAATGAGAATGTGCAGCACCTCGGTATTGCGATGTCACATGATCATGATCTCTCACCTTATCATCAAATAATAGTTGTTTACATATGTAACACACGGTGGCGTTATTAAAGTTTTTTTCTTGATCTTTTGTTAAAGGTGACATAGGCAGCTCTTTTGATAATATATTATAAATCATTTCCATGTCGCTTAGCAAATATGTAACAAATTTTTCTACACAATCTGGACCTCTATACGTCACATATTTATTCAAACTGCGGTCGTGTGAGCAACAAATATAATAACCGAAACAAGAGGGTTGATGAGCTTTATATATTCGAGTATTCTCCGTTATAAGATCATTACGATTTAATAGAAGGCTTTCAAAGTCTGCATAAATAACAAAGTTTATTTTTTGTTGCTTTTCATAATTTTTAAACTGTAGAATAGTATTTTTACCCGGCAGTACTGTCCGTAGTTTATTACATATATGTGAGTTGTACTTCTTCGAGCTTGCAAAACATTGTAAACATAAATCACAAAAAAACATTTTACCTTTGTGATGAGTAATTTGCCGTTTCACTAGTCGTAAAAGGTCTTTGATTAAACAATAGTGACCTTTTCCATTTTTTTCAATATATAATAAATTTACATGATTACGCTTTCTTGATTTAGTGACATATAAAGGGCCAGTTACAATGTGTTTGCTATCTAAGCCATAAATATTCACACTTATGTCGGAATTTATTTTTTCGAAATGTCTAATATCTGGGTTTGATGGTGGAAACATCATATCACTTACATTTAGTACTGTAGAATAGTGTGGATATGATTTTGTTCTACAAACATTTCTCTTTTGTGGAAATAATGCTGCCACAATACTCCATAGGAAGCAATGATTATCATTGTTTTGTATGTTAATACAGCTTTTAGATCGTTTAAGTACATTTGGCAATTCTATATATGATCCACCTCTTAAAGGATTATATTTATTTACATTAATCTCCAGATGATTTATAAGGAGGCAAGACCAGCCAGATTCACGGTGTTGAAATTCAGATAGTTTTCTATTAAAAGTATTTATTAAATTTAAATATAGATCATTTATATCAGTACTATGATAAACTAATTCATATTTACTATTAAATGATTTCAGTTCATGTTCACCAGTTGATGGCAGAACAAAGTAAGCGAAAAGTTCAAAGTTCACTTTAATACAGTTATGTTTCTTAAGACAAACATTCAATAAATTCATTACATCTTTCTGATTATCTATTAAGAATACCTCTGGTGTGAGATACATCTCTGATGGATTAAGTCTGTAAGTTATTATTCTGTTTTTAAAAGCTGTAGCAATGATATCGATATTCTTAAATTCAGATTTCAGTATGCTATTCGATTTATGTAAATTAGTTCTTATATGATATTGATATTCGTTTTTCGGTATTTCAATTTGACAGTGAACACATTTCAATAAATTATTATTAGATCTGATGACAGAACTTGAAGGAACTGTAAGAAAAAAAAACACAACACATTAATATTAGCGTATAATTATATTTATTTCATTTAGATAAGTGATACAAGAGTAAAGTAAAGTAAGAGAAGATTTGGATATATTCAATATGAGTAAATATGCGATTAAAATAATAATAATAACTACATGAATATAATTATGGATGTAGGGATATACACCTCCTACAAAAAGTATCTAATCCTATCACCTAATTAAAATCTAGATATGATATACCAAATCAGCAATTATTATTATTATTAAGTACATTTAATAATAATTGCTGATAAAATTCACTGGACAGTTCCTAAATTCCTTCCTCGTGGCAGTTATGAAGTTACTAAGATGTTGCCACGCTTCCGTGTTTTCGTCTGTTTTGTTTTTCACGCAAACAATAGCGTGGCGCCACCGATTCATAGGCGTCACCTTTTCAATTTCGTTGCAACTGTATACCTTTAGTTCAATATAGTGTGACCCTTTTTTGGTGTCACATGTTTGGCGAGAGTGCCCATTAGCAAGCCTTCGAGTCATATATGACTGCAACAACTGAATAGGTTTACCAGTAACAGGTTGATCCTGGTCTTCATCTTCGCTGTCGGTTCCGAAGATATCCCGGACCGTTGCTTTCTTCGGTGGGATAGGCTTGATAGCAGGTTTCTTGACTTTTACCGGTGGTGGTGATGTGACACGAGCGGGAGCTGGACTCTCCCTGGATGTACTCGGCGCAGATATTAATGACGACGAAGACGTATGTTTTCTCTTCTTCTGCTTCATTTTCTCCGGGTCAGGCCGCTGTTGCACTTCATCGTCTGATGGGAACAAAGCTTCAGCATTTCCACGTTGTGACGACCTGAAATAAAAAAAATATATTTATACCACATATATTTATGTTATACTTTAACATGTAATGTAAATACGAATGAAAGTACTGTGTACTGAAACACTATTATCGATTTTAATAAAAGAATAGACATGTTGATATTAATGAATTGAATCAGTGAAAACATGAATATGAAGTATACAAAACTAAACACTAGTTTTAATGTAATAATAATAATAATAACTGTTATTATTCATTTAATTATTAATTTATTAAATATGAGTGAAGCACTGTGCAGTTATAATAAATGAATAGATGTGGTTATCGAAAACTAAAACAAACTATTTTATTATAATATTATAATTAAAACTTACATTTTTATGCAGTGCCTTCGTTGTTGATACCAGCTCTGGGGATTAAGCAGTAATGCTCCAGATGCCCACGTACCGATTTAAATACCAATAAATTTACGTCACTTTAATCCTTATACGGAAAGTAAATTCGGATGAAAATCCTGAGTCAAATCTAAGACTCCAAAATGAGAAAAATGCTTACCTAGCATTGTTATTGTTAAGTTTGATTCTCAACATTAAACACATGTAATTAAGATTTTAACTTAAATTAGTACAGCTATTAGTAATCATAGGACTAGTTTCCTACTCCAACTTTACTTGTGATTTATCATCATGGTAAATGTACGATAACGTCTTCAGCAAACAAAAGTATATTCAGATCTTTATTATTAGTATATAATTATAGTAAACAAAATAGTGCAGGCGTCGGTCCGTCGGAGAATCCTATTTCAACGAACCATATTTAGTCAAGTGTATTAAATGTCATAATACGTTCAATTTTCAACCTTAGAAACTTGCAAATAAATATATATATAAATGTGGTGGAAAAATGAAAAAAGTAGCTATTATCAAATCAGGTGGGCAAGGCGTATAGGTACACTTTGATGTCGGTAAATATTATTCGGATCTTTTTCTTAATTGTATTACATTGTCTTCTCAAATATATAATAAACTATAATTAATGATATTTATATTATGTATTTAATAATTCATTCATTCATTTCAGGATTCCGAAGATTTACTATTCAATTTCATCCCTATGGAAAATCTGCAAATGCAAAAAGACGTTAGCGATGGTGGAAATCGAAAGAGAAGCAATGATGAAACGTTATATAGTTATGTGAAGCGACCTGTCAAGGGTTCAAAAGTTATCCGTATCGAAATATACGATGCAAAAAGTTTTGAAGACCGTCAACAGAATATATGTAAATGCAAGGCTGATTTGTGCGTGCAACACGTCGTGAAAAATAATATGGATGTCATATATCAGTCGACTAAGGACCTCATATTCAAAATACAAGAAAATATGGAAAATATTTTTTAATTACTGTATACAGTGATTAAAATAAAAATTGATTTATAAAGGTTGTTTTGTTTTGGTTTCTAGTTGATTTGAATAGATAGTTTATTTGAAATTATGTAACAGTATTCGAATAAGATGGTTTATGTACTAGTTTTTGAAGTATCAATAGGTATATTTGTGTAAATAGATGATGTACTTGAAATGATGTAACAGTGTTCAAATAAATGGAATAATAGTTTTTGAAGTATCAAATTGTAATTAGTAGTGGTATTTGAATAAATAAAATTATATTATTTAAATGCATATCAGATTAAAAGTGGTATTTGAATAAATGAATTACATTATTTGAATAGATGTCTCATTTAAATTAATGTATAATTGGGGTGGATGGATCTCTTTTGATCCAGAAACCCCAATTATACACTACTTACTCTTATTGTTAAAGGAGTCAGGCCAGGTTAACTTAATGTAATTATACTCAATTTTAGCCAGTCCCTAATATTATTAAGAAGGTGTACATCGCATATGTCATAACATAAGTACACCAATACCCCACGCCTGTCTCCCATAGGGATACGCAGATGTCATAAATATGAAATAATACTTTCAGAATATAGTGGTACAAATCCAATGCACTAGTAATGAGTTAGGTACATAATTATGTGTTATGTGTAACAGTTTTATAATTATTTTGCTTTAACTCGATGAATTTTTCAAAAAATATTTTATCTAACTACCTATAAGCCTTGTTTGACAAGAGTCCTGTACAGTTCTCTTTTACATAAAAAGATAAGCCATAATACACATCATTAAGCAGCCGCTTTCACGTATAAACATACAAGTTCACAAACACATAATACCCGAAACAATAATTTTATGGATCCCACAAAGATTTGCTTCTTGCGGAAATCGAACCCGTTACACGTAACGCGGCAGCCAATTGCCCACCGTGCAATCATTGTTTTTATTTTTAATTACTTAGTTAATTCTATTTTTGACACTTAGTGCTTTATACTACAGTAATTCAAGTTTGAGAGCTATCTAGCGGCTCAATGGACTGTAGGCAATATAACGTTTAATGTTACCTATTCCTAGCTTACTGAATAGATTTACAGATTCGTGTTTTACGATCCATAAAAAGATTGCTCGTGTATTTTATACCTATTTTCCGAATCAAAGTTCGTGTGTATTGTTTAAGGATCAATGTGTCTGAGATTTATTATTATTTCATCTCTGTTTCATTAAGGTTTTGCTTTAAATAGAGATGAAATAATTCTCATTTCAATTTCTGTAATGGTGGCTACATATGCGTGAGTATGTATCGATGACGATGGCGATAGGCTCTCCCCCTATTACATGGGACTGTGGCATTAAGTGCCCCAATGTGTACCTCTGCCTACCCCTTCGGGAATGAAAAGGCTTGATGTTATGTGTTATGTGTTTGTTGTTCCATAATTCAAATTTCTGATAAAATGTACCTTAGGCGCATTAATTAACATTTTTAGTGTACACTCATTAACTAAAGGTTAATTTATTTAACCTTTTTAATATTGTCGCCTATTTGTTCGACTTAGCGTCGCCTACGCCCTCTGCCAACGAAAAAGTTTATTAAATTAGTTTTAGCTAAGGTAGACCTAATATCATTAGAACATTTATGAGTCTAGGGTCTTAGCCTGGGTTAGGCAAAGTGTAATATTACTTTTTCAATTTTGTGAGTGCTATTAACCAAATGGCTAATTTTACTGAGAGACTAATAGGGCAAATAAAGATAATAGTATATTATGTTGTTAATACATATATATTTCGACTGCCTCGTTGGCCGAGTGGTGAGTCGGGGAAAGTACTACTGTTTTTTTTTTATTTTCAGTACTCACGGAGTCTGGAATTGTGCCCGGTATATGGCAATAGGCTCACTCCCGATTTAACATGGGACTCATAACATAAATAGTATACAGCGGCATCAAGTGCCGTAATCTGCACCTCTGCCTATCCCTTCGGTGATAAATGTGTAAATGTTATCTTATGTTATGTTACATCTTTATTTCTTTTGTAAATAAGGTTCTGTCTTATGGCTTAAAAAACATAAACTGGACATACTCCCACATACCATAGAATCGATTCGATAACATAATATAGGTATTATGTATATTGTAACACATTTTGTAACCTATATACGTACTATCTGCAAACAAATTTGAAAATTATTAATAACACAAATAGTAATTGTTACAAATCAAAGTCGTATGCTCGTCCCCCAATATGGCGCTTATTGCAGTGTGGTTGGGCGTGCATAGGTAATTGGTGTGAGATGTGGATTCAGCAATCATCGTGTGCTTATAGTCGTATCTGCCAATGGCTTCATAGCTAAAAGCTTCAAGCAACATCTATGTAGGCTAACCGTTAGATGGTTGGGTCTCGGGCCCGATGCACGGCGTGTTTTATCCGGAATTTCCTTTCTCTGGAGCCCTGACCCGGTAGCTTGGATTTTACTTGTTTCTGGTGTGCTAATGCTTTTTTTATATAAATAATATTTAAAATGTATTAACGAGGTACAAAATAAATAATGAATGGTATATTCTTATATTATAAGTATATCGTGTTTAATGCGGCAATTCGATTTTGGTTTGTGTTGGACGCACGCGCGCAACTCTAGTGGCAACACGGCCACCTCACTATTCGTCTTCCCCCGCTTCCCCGCCACTGACCGACCGCTCGACGGCGTTGCGTTGCGTAGGAGAGGAGCGTCACACAACATAACAACAAGTCCCGCCCGCGCCGGAGCCGTGACGCACGCGCTTCGTATTTGTACCGCGGAATATTTGAATTTTATTCCATTGTATTATTTTGTTGAAAGTTTATTCCAATTTACAGTTTTACAGTAATTCGTGTGTTGAACTTTATTTCACGCCCTTGAGAACCCAATAGACATATCAAGTTATTAAAGTGACGCCCAACTTGCGGCCACGAGTACGAACTGTTAGCATCCACATAATATTTCCTTATGGTTGATATTGACGGCTGGCAACACAGCCGAAAAAGGCGCGAATATAGATGTAAATGTCAAAAAGTTTTGACATTAAGCAGAAATTCGTTGAAAATTGTTGTCATGTTTTTAGTTCGCTATTTTATAAATTAAAGTATTTTATAAAAAGACTATTCTCTTTTAGTTCAGAAGTGGGATCATAAATCTATGTGTTCGTTATTATCGCGTAATTCGCATCCTGAAGAAAATAAAAGACGTAAGCGTGCGTGACTATTCATAACACGAAGGTGATACAACTTATGAACTTACTACGCCCCGTGAGTTGCTTATTATGGGGGGCGATAGTTACCGTCGACACAATAAAAGTAAAACGAAGAAGAGTCGCCGCCACACGAGTATTTCGAATAAATACGGAGAACGAAAGAGTAAGCATCGCTCGAGTCGGAGACATCAGAGTCGTTCGAGTTCGAGGCATCGGAGTCGTTCGAGCTTGGGACATCGGAGTCGTTCGAGTTCGGGACATCGGAGTCGTTCGAGTTTGAGGTATTCGAGATCGCCGTGTAGTCGTGCAGGGCTGACGCCGCGCAGGTCACATGACCGTGACCGTGAACATGCACGTCGCCGCCACCACCAGAGTGTGTCGCCCGAAGATAACAATGTGAGTCGTTCCAATGTTAAAGACACTCAATCCCTGTTAACTGAATTGATTAAATCAATATCCAATAGTCGTCCTGAGGGAAATAAATTCCCGATGCTAGGGAATGTAATACCAGAGTTTGATCCCATGTCAAAACACCAAACTGTTGAGATGTGGCTTAACAAGGTGGAAGAATGTGCTCAGTTATATAAATGGGGAGAAGATCAGATTATTCATTACTCTCTCCCTAAACTTAGTGGTGTAGCCAGGACATGGTATCAGACTCTGCCATCAATGTCGTTTTCGTGGACCGAGTGGAAAAACAAATTAAGGGAATCTTTCCCATCCACTGATGACTATGCAGAACTCCTTAACGATATGTTGTCCAAAAAGGTTAAATTTAATGATTCATTAGAATTATATTTCTATGAAAAACTTAACCTTCTTAACAGATGTGAAATATATGGCAAAAGGGCAGTCGACTGCCTATTATATGGGATAGAAGACCGTAGTTTGAGATTAGGTGCTAAAGCAGTTAAATGTGAGGAACCGGAACAAGTATTGAAATATTTCCAATCAATAACACAGCAATC